ACTGATCTGCGCATGCGCTGCCAATAGCGCCGCGCTGCTCTGGAGGGAGGAATTTCAGTGAACGAGAAATATGAGTCAATGGATTACGTGAACGAGAACGAATCTTTAGGTGAACGAATCGTTCAAAAAGAATGATTCGTTCACGAACGAATCATGTGATCTCAACATGTTTTTATTAGTGATGCAAAGTCCGATTCATTTCCGCGAACCAGTTCTTTTCGGACAGATCGGTGCTTCACCAGGAGTTTTTTCCCCGTGTGGTTCGATACTGTCATGATTAAAATGAGAAAAAATAAACAAAGAAAAATAGATCCAAACTAAATGTCCGGGTGCGTCTCAATCAGCTCCCTTGTCGAGTCGTCAGTGAACTGCTAATGGAGTCAGTCTCAGTGATAGTTAATGGCCTTAAATGAACTAATGAACTAATTAGTGGAGAAAAAATATATATACATACACTTCATACACATCTGTTGAGATACTAAATGATCGGTAGATTACAGTCATTAGATTACACTTTAATTACTTTATTTGCAGTTGGTTTGTAAAAATTGTTTGTAGTTCTTGTTGCATTTAGTTTTGAGCAGCAGGTGTCGTAAGCATGAGGTTATCTGAGTGCTTTAATCAGTGTTTAAACCAACAAGCAGCTTCAAAAAGCTCAGTTTCTCCATCATTACTTTTTAAATTGAATTTCAAAGTTACAATCAGTTCTCAAAACCTTTTTTTTTTTTTTTTTTTTTAAGTGAAATAAAAGGAACATTCCATTTTATCATGTTGCACACATTATGGGAACCTTACTTTGACAGATAGACAGACAAACAAACAAACGGAGACTTACGGTTAGTTTTTGAGCGCAATCGGCTTTAGATGAGACGCGGACGCACTGTAGCGCTGGTCGAATTGCAGCACTGGTGAAGGCCTGAGCCATTGCTTTACATTTGGACTCCTCCGCAGGAGAAATAGTGCACCATCTTATCGTACTCTGCCCTGACACTGGACGAAGTTATTTATAATATTATCACCATTATTTTTAGCCTTCCACCTACATCTCCAAAAAAATCTCAGATTCATACCGTTGTTTACATAATTAAAAACATGCATTTCTTACAGCTATAATAATTAAACACAGAGATAGAAATCACGTTTTCCCCTTCATATTAACTTAAAATGTTTCTTACCATCATAATGCGTGATCGCTAGCAGAATGCTTAGAAAAGCCCAGGTGTCCATCTCTGACTCAAGAGTGCGCAGATGTTAGTGTGTTGTAGCTTTATATCTGAGTCTGTCTGAGTCTGAAGTCCAAACCACGACTCAGCCCTTCGACATAACTAGACGTTCAATTGTATCTTAATCATAAAAGATACGTGCAGTCAAATTCAGGATTTATAGACTATAATGTGACCAGACATGAGGACTGAGGAATGGCACGTCCAAGACACGGGCGGAGGTCCAAGGTGCACACAGAGGGGTCTTTCATTTTTGGAAACTCCACCTTTTTCCATAAGGGGGAAAAAAAGTCTCAGAATCAAGAACAGTGTCACATAGGACCCAGGTAAAATAACTTTTAACCTTGAAAAAAGAGCAAATGACAATCAAACGTAATTTGATTAAGAAGAGAGAAGAACAGAGAAACATATAAATGTATAATTCAGATCAAATCTATTTTCAGATGAAAACGCTCTAATGTTTCTTTCAGGTGATTCTGCATCACTCTTTAGTTTCAAGTGTTTTACTGATGCGCTTTACTCTCACTAATAACGTACATTAACGTCAGATAAATCACTAGTCTTACGTTAAACGATATTTAAGCCATTTCACATCGTTAGCGTTGACTTAAACTTTGAAAGGAATAAACAAACCTTTCTTCAGCCGAAACACAGACGCTGGAGCGAGGCGCAGCCTTATGACGTCACATCACCACACCAAAATAAAAGTCCTGTTCAGACGCCAATGTTGAATGTCAGAAGTGCTGGAATATTTACACACAACAAAAGTAAAACATTCAAACAATAAAACATGTATTCGGAGTTTTATTCTTTTTTAAATACAAATGTCTAGTTGTGAAAATAACTGCTAAAGAATGACTGTGCAGCACATCTAGTAGTATTTAATTTATGATTCTGTCTAAAAAGCAAATCTATATCAGCTTTGTCAATAAAACTAAATCTTTTGTTAGGGCCACAGATTATTCAAAAATTAGCAAATGCAACAATAAATAGGTAATGAGTTATTAGTTAAAAATTTGACTTTATAAGTGAATCACACACACAGAGATTGTTGTTTCCACTTATTAATAAAATGCAGTTATTAATACTTATCTTAAAGTGTTTCTAATAATACATTGCACTTTTTAAATAATATGACAGTATTTTTGATTATATTAAATATCTACATATGTGTACTTATAAACTATTTATATACTGTTTTCTTTTTTCAACAAATTACTTATTTTTTTGCTGCACAGTTGGTTTATGTTGCTTTCTCCTGAGCATGTGTACCAATTCAATCACAATAGCTGCGTTTCCATTACCCTTCAAATTGCGCAAATTGAAATTTACGGCTCTGATACGGCCACTGAAGCTGATTGCGGCCACTCTAGTTAAAGGTAGGGTATGTAATTTTTCAAAAACACTTTAGAAAACTGATTCGGGCCGAATAGGCAAGACCCTTTTGGGGTAGAGGCGTGTTTGTTTTGGTGATTTCAAATATCAACATTGGCTACCAGAAATCACTTACTCTGCCTTTAATGCTTGTGTTTATTCCAGCCGCGGCACGCTCGTTTCTGAAGCGGCTCTCCGCGCTGCTTCTGTCAAGATACATGCATACGCCTCCTTCGATTAAATATAGCCAAAATCCACCAAAATCCGTTGCCATGACTTATTGTGAAGAGAAAAAAAAAAGTTTTAGTCACATAACATTGGTTAATGGAAACGCCGTCATTTCGCAATACTTTTTTATCGACATTTATAAAATAATCGCCAAAGTTTTGCGCAAATCTGCAATGGAAACACGCCTATTGACTGCTAAAACTTGTATCACAGTATGCTGTACTGAATTGCATTGAAAGATTGAACTATTGTTGCTTTTTATATAGTTTGTTACTTTTTAAAATCCAACTTTAAAAAAATAAAATGCAAAGAAAAAATCTTGAACAGTTAAGAAACTTAATGAACAATTAAGTTATTTCACAAATAAATTATGATTTATAGACAGCTAAATATCCAAAATATATTTATAATAGAACATTTATTAACTAAAACACAGGGGTGGACGGTAACAAAGTATTTTACTTCACAACTGCACTTGAGCATATTTTTTAAGTATCTGTTTTTTAAGCATTTGTATTTTGCAAAACATTTACCTTTACTCCACTACATTTCATAAAACATTACACCTCATTATTTTGAACTGAAGAAATCACCACTGCTCTGAGATGCAAGAGTGATATCTTACACCGCGTCCTAACTTCAAGCGATGCGACGCCGTGACTCGCAATAAAAGGTATCTTTTCCATGTTATTCAGAGTTGTGTCCTAACTAGCCGCAACAGCGACACGCAAAATTTCTATTTTAGAAACTGTTTCTATTTCTGCGACGTCGCGGCTGGAACAACTTTCTGCGGGCTTGCCCACAAAAAAAAACACACGGGGCCCCCCCCTTTTTTTAATCTACATGCAAATGTTGCACTAAAATTAGATTTCTGTGACAATTACAGTAAAATGTAAACAATAAATTGTCCATAACAAAAATTTAATATATTCAACAGCAAATCAAATACTTTTAACTTTAACTAAAACAGCACACGGTCAACAAGTAAACCTGTTGGTTTGTAGCAGCTGTTTCCAGATTATCTATTTTACCATATTACAGTAATTCAAAAACCCATTTAGACCTCAACAGAACACCCCATATATATTTACATTTAGTAATTTAGCAGATGCTTTTATCCAAAGCGACTTACAAATAAGGACAATGGAAGCAATCAAGCATGTAAAGCCAGAATATATACAGTGGCTGAGACTACCAGAGATAGACAGAATACCAAATAAGGAGAGAAGAAAGAAAAACTAAAAATAAATACATAAAAAATATATATAATAATCATAATAATGAAAAGTCAAAATTATTGTGTCACATGGAAAGACAGCATCACATAAGACCAAAAGTCTTCCCAAACCGGAATACACACAGGGACCCCTGCTTTGTTCTTGTTACGTAGTTTGTAGAGCAAACGTTCGTACGAGGCTGTCTTAGTCATTATATTGACCCATTCTTTTAGCTCTGGGGTTTTGGGAGTTTTCCAGTGTTTCAAGATGACTAGCCGTCACAGAGACCCCCACCATGATCACTGCGTACTCTCCCTTTATAATATTTGGCATCTGCTCCCTGTCTCCCAATAGACACAACCTTGGTGATAATGGTATTGTTGTTCCAAGCCATTTGCTCAAAGTATTTAAAGTTTGGTGCCATAAAGGCTGAATAAGTGGACACTCCCAGATACAGTGAATAAAAGTACCTCTGTCCTTTTGACATTTCCAACAGGCATTATTATTTGTCAAACCCATTCTATTGAGTCTAAGAGGTGTCAAATAAAATCTGTATGATTTTATACGGTGTAAACTGTCCTCTAGCTTCTCTTACAATGTATTTGACAAAACACTTTTCCACTCTTCTTCCCCGATTACAATCCCAATGTCCTTTTTTCATATTGTCTTTAAATTTCTGTCTCGCAGTCATTGCTGAGCACGTGGTTGTTCGTCCTGTAGAATACAGAGGCTTTTTGTTGGGGATGAGGCAGTGTTAGGAAGTCCAAGATGTGGTTTCCGTCCGTGTGCTGAATTTTTGTGGAAACACAATTTCTGATTTGAAGATATTTCCAGAAATGATCTTTTCCCTTTAAATTATACTTCTGCACAAGATTATTATAAGACATAAATACACCCTGTTCAAACAAATCTGTCACATTACACAAGCCATTCACATGCCATTTCTTCCAATATATGGGTGATTTCCCGATACAAATAGCAGAATTATACCATAGGGAAGAGTCTGGTTGTTTACACTGTGATATATTATGCATCTTGTGAATCTTCGCCCATACCTCTCTGGAGTGCTTCTTGATAGGATTTGTGGTTGTGTCTAAACATTGAGACAAGTGCTCAATAGGGCTGTATGGCCATGACAAGGACTTCTCAATAGTAACCCAGTCTAATTGAGTATTATTATTCCAATGCTTGGCCAATTTGGCCATTTCAAAGGATATCTGATAGAGCCGAGGATCTGGTAATCCCAACCCTCCCTTATCCCGAGATGCACATAATTTGTTCAACTTTATCCTGGGCCTTTTCCCATTCCATAGGAAACGTTTAACCATTATATCGTATTGATTAAAGATCAACTGTGGTATCGTAAGTGTTAGCATCATAAGCACGCAGTTAAGCTGAGACGAGACCACCATCTTAATTATATTCACCTTCCTCCATAAAGTTAACTGAATTTTTCCCCATTTGTCCAAGTTATTCCATATGTTTTGTAGAAGTGGTGCCAGATTTAACATTGGAATCTCTTCTAACTCCCTGCTTATCTTGATACACAAAGATTTGATCCCTCTTGGGATCCATCTAAAGCCAAATTTAATTACCATATTTGCGTTACTTATTCCGGATATAGGCGTAGCTTCCGACTTTGTCCAGTTAATTTTATATCCAGACACTTTAGAATAGGATTGAACTGTCTCCATTAAGTGAGGTAAGGACTTATCTGGATCTTTTACCGAGGCCTCCCTGTGCGCCTGGAATGTTTGTATTAGCCCTGATAGCAATGGCCAATGGTTCCAGTGTGATATTGAACAATAATGGCGACAGCGGGCACCCCTGTCGTGTCCACCTGGTGAGGTCAAAAGATTGAGAAACTTTACCGTTGGTAATCACGCATGCCGTAGGTGTCTTATATAATGTTTGAACCTACTTGATCTGTCGTGTCCCCCTGGTGAGGTTAAAAGATGGAGAAACTTTACCGTTGGTAATCACGCATGCCGTAGGTGTCTTATATAATGTTTGAACCTACTTGATGAAACAAGGCCCAAACCCAAAATTTGACAACGTTGTGAATAGAAATTCCCAGTGAACCCGATCGAACGCCTTCTCTGCGTCGAGTGAGAGGGCAACAATTGGGTCGGTTTTTTCTCTGTTTAGCCAAAATAGATGTAGTAACCTTCTCATGTTATCGGTTGATGACCTATTCATCATAAATCCAACTTGATCAGGATTTATAATGTTGGATAACACCTTCTCTAACCTAGTGTTAATTTTGTCAGCTATTTTCATTTTAGTCTTCGTCTTAGTCCCGTGTTAAAATGTCCTTGTTAGTTTTTATCATATTTAGTCAACCTTATCCTATTTAGTTTTAGTCAAGTTTTATTCGACTAAAAGTCTCAACATTTTAGTCTAGTTTTAGTCCAAGAAAACCTGAAGTATTTTAGTCTAGTTTTAGTCAATGAAAACTTGACATTTTAGCAATAAGATTATTATTAATTAACCGTACAGCAGTATTAATTTTGGCAGCCATTTTTAATTTAATCTTAGTCTTACTCAAATGTACATTTTAGTTATCATATTTAGACAAACTTGTCCTGTTTTTGTTTATTCAATGAAATATTAGTCACATTTTCGTCATTCTGTATAATGGTTAAACTGATAAAAAAT